CTTCTTGACTTGGGCAGTGGTTATACAGGTGTTCACTTTATAACTATTTGATAAAACTGTGTGTTTTTGCACTCTTCTGTGTTTGTAACATAGAAAATGTTAAGAAAAAAATGTCCTTTGCTTTTACCACTAAATCTTCTACCAGGAACTTGTTCTAAGGAAATATGCACAAAGAAGTTCTCTGTAGCATTATCTAAAAAGCAAAACTAAAAACCAACTAATTATCCATCAAAACAGAAATGGTTCAGCAAATTATAGTAATAAAGGAATATTACAAAGTATTATGGTAATTGAAAAGACTTAAAGCACACTTCTGACAGCAAAATACAAAATAATGGTTTGAAGTCACATTAAGTCTATGTATACATGCATAAGGATTAGAAGAGAATGTTAAAAAGTGTTATGATAAAAGAGCTCTGGGTAATTTTCCCTGTATGTTTTTATTATTGTTAAATTATCTTTACCACAAAGAGAACAGAACATGTGGTTAAAATGCAAAGGACAGGAACATCCCACTGGCAAAGACTACTCATGTCTAATCACAGTGTGATCGTCAAATATTCTGCCCAAATGTACTCAGAACACTTTGGTTGTTTATGACATGGCAGAACAGGGAAGTCTAAAAGAGGAAGAGCTGTGTGGAATTAATTGGTCTTTCATTTTGCTTCTGATATTTTATTCTGAATTTTCAATGCTCTGACATTCCCATATTTTACTTCCAGTTCACGTAGCCCTTAAAATAATCGATAATAATTTATTAAAATATTGAGAATTTGAGTATCATGGAGTTCCTACTCTCCATCTTATGATGTCCCTCAGAAGACAAGGTATTCACCTGAATTTTGAAAAATTTATGATCAAGAGTGAAAGTTAAGTTTGTCAACTCCAAAAGGTACTACATGATTTATTGCCAAATGAATTGCACAACTAACAACCCTAGACAAAAGTGCTTGGTTAGGCTGTGTGGGGAATGGTGGTCCGCAGAAACTTTCAAGATAGCAGGAGATCAACGGAATCCTAAAGCCTGGCCCTAGGATGCGTGGAAAGGAACATGGAAGAGTTTCCATGAGGATGAGAATAAGAGCCAAAGTGCAAGGGCAGGAAAAGGAGGATATAGCAAGAACTGTTTGCTCAAAGAGATGAGCTGGGGCTCCATGTTAGAAATCTAAACACGCCCTGTTGGCAACAGAGGGTCACTAAAACTGTTTGAACAGGAGCCACATGCTCAAGGAGTGGTTGGGGAGACCCCCTAGAGCAGAGCATATATCTAAACACGCCCTGTTGGCAACAGAGGGTCACTAAAATTGTTTGAACAGGAGCCACATGCTCAAGGAGTGGTTGGGGAGACCCCCTAGAGCAGAGCATATGATAGCTTGAAAGGTGCACACAGGTAGTGAAGGGGGAATGCAGCTGTCCAGGTTTGAATTGAAGAGACTTGAAATAGGGAAAGAATGGAAAAGGAAACAGGGATTTTCAGGTCTGTGGACTCTGAAAAGCAGGGCTTCAACCACACCATTCTAAAAACTTAATCACTTTTCCAAGCTTCAGCTTTCTTGTCCATAAAACAGTGGTGCTGCTGGGGAAAACATGCAGGACCATGTTAAACAAATGGCAAGGTGCCCTACAAATTTAAGTTAAGAAGAAAGGATGAACCAACTTGGAGATGTGCTGGACAGAGGAGGGCAAAAAAGAGGAAGGCGATTCCGAGGTCTGGAACCTGCAAAACGGTACTGCCCTGCCCCCCACCCCCCCATTTGCATCTGTTCAGGAAGGTCGCCAAAATTCTTTCCTTGCTTTTTACTTCTAAATTTATTTTCCTATTGGATCTCCTTCTGAAATTGTTACATTGTTGAACTTCCATTCTAGAACATACAGAAACAATAAAAGAACAGAGCCACTTTAGATCACACAAGGGGCGGTTCTATTTCTAAAAACACATTCACTTTTGAAAAGTCCCTGAATTGGTTGGGGAAAAATAAACACAAAAAAGTCTTAATTACAGAATATACTTTTAAAGAAATGCAGCTTTATTACTTTCAAGTATAAACAATAACTTGGGCTTGCCTAACCAAATGTTTGTTGCCTAATTGAGGAAACCTGCTTTAATGGATAGAAATAAATGATTTATGGTTAGCACAATCACTCATGGGTAAATAATGCTTCTATGACACGTGAAAACAACTTGTCATTTGTAGAGACATCTTGTTCCACAATCACTCTATTCGCTTATGCTAGCAGCCCCTTCTTCTCATCTCTGTTCAAATATAAATTTTACCTCATTCCCTCTAGATTGCAAAATACATCAAATTAGTGAAACATGAGTTGATGAATTCTACCCTGTTGCCATAGACGTTGGTTAGTGACAGACCAGTCTTTTTCAACCTAAGCATTCTCATCAAGAATACTAAGTCTAGGGGCCAGCCCGGTGGCGCACTGCTACAGTGCACCGCTTGGGAAGCGCGGCGGCGCTCCCGCCGAGGGTTCGGATCCCACATACGGACCGGTTCCTGCTCACTGGCTGAGCGAGGTGCAGGAGCAACACCGAGGGTTGCGATCCCGTTGCCGGTCACGAAAAAAGACAAAAAGCCAAAAAAAAAAAAAAGAATACTAAGTCTAAATTAGTGAAACTTGTCTGTTCACAATGTGAGTGAGTATAAGGACACCAAAAAATTATGAGCTCTTATCATGAGTTAATAATTTGCCAGGGTTGAATATGCAAAAACTCATTTTTACTTGGGCACATTCATAAAGAGAAGTAGTGGCTGAGTTCTTCAGGCTGTAATAAGTGGGTTTACACTGGTCAGGATTGCAATGATAACTTTAAAAGCAACTGAACTATTCTAGAGAAGACTGGAAACACATCGTAACAATTTGACAGCCAAACACCTTTTTGCGCTAAGCATGATCATTCAGCCTAATTAGGCTGATGGGAGTGGTGCAAAGACTATGCAGTAATCCTTCTGAGCATTTATTCTGAAAAGATTTCACTTCCTAAAGAAGGCACAGGGAACCCTTAATCAAGAGACACTGCCAAAGATGGTTATTGAGCATTTTGTCAAGAATGCTAACCTGTTCTTTTCATCAGACACTCTATCCCGGGACTGCATAATCGTCAAGAGCGTCTCAGTTGTTTTATACATCTTGGCAAGCACCAGCATACCCAGGTAGGAAGGCTGTGGCAAAGACACAGCCTTCTCCCTTATCCTGACAACTCTGTGTTCTAAAGGCAAGAGTGACAATGTGCCCCACCCCAGACTATATCCTGGAGTAGTGATCTGATTTTGCTCACTTCCCAACAAAGAAAAGCAAGTGGTTCATAAACTGAAGCCCAGAGGAGGAGGCACCAAAAGCTGTGAGAGTGATAGTAGGAATATTCACCTCTAGACTCCCAAGAAGCCAGAACACACAATCACAACTTCAAGGAGCTCGCTGGGTGTGGCCAAAGCAATGTGTAAAGCCAGGTTCCACCCTCCTTAGCTGCTTCTGTTAGGTCAAAATGTCTAGCCAAACAGAAACAAATTCTTCATGTCTAAAATAATAGTTTCCAAAGGGATTTCTTTTCTCCGATTTACAAATGTACAGCAGTAAGCACTTGCATGTGAACAAATATTAGGATGATTTATGTGCTTCTCATTCTAACTTTATTAAGCACTTTCAATGGCCAGAAGAGTGATTTTTAAGCTATGAAAATGAAGTGCAAACCCTTCTTCCACTGGACGAAGACGTTTCTATTTCTCTGATAGGTCTAAAAGGTCAGGTTAGGGCCAGATTTGATGACACTATTATTCCAGATGGTGCTGGGGTAAACTACCTTCCCTTGGAATGGGAACAAAATCTGCTAAAAACCTCACACCCCCTCAGCTTTCCTGGACCCCTGTCCTCACCCTGGAGCCTGAAGTTGTTACAGTTCCCTTTATGAACCTGAGAGGAAAGAGCCACTCACACCAGACCACAACGTCACCAAGAAATCCAATCCTCATAAAGAAGGATGCCATCTATCTGCTCATGACTAAGAATTTTTCAGAAATGAGAATATTCACAAAAAAGGCAAAGGCAATTCCCTCACCTCTGAGTTAAGGCAGCTGAAGTCCATTTGTGCACAATATAGCCCCCGTACAATGAAAGGAGACTGAGGAAACACAGCTTTAGTTATTCCCTTCTCGCGCCTCTCTCTGACCTCCACTTTGCTATATATTTTTTTTAAAGGATGAGTTAGTTTTCCACTTTTTAAAAAAGCTGGCAATAGTATGAGTATATCCAGTATCTATAAAGCAATTAAGTAAAATGCTCAGGTAAAATGAAGGCTTCTGTGAGGAGGAATCCAAACTAGAACTCCAACTACTGCTTCAAGTACTGTTGTCAAAATCCAGCTGCACCAAGCACCACCTTGATGATAGCTTTCATATTCACCACTGAACACTGAAACAGGACATACCATACAAGTTTCAAGTTAGTTCTTTTTAATTAAACTTTTCCCACAAATGACTACAATTACTTGCCCTCTGAAGCTACTGACTTATCTGGAAGTGAGGTGGGGGTAGAGATGGTCATTAGATCAGTTATCTCAGTTACTTGCTCAGGCTGGATGAAAAGCAAAAAGTCATTTACCCTTACCATTGCCCAAAGTCTCTTGGGGCTTTTGCAAAAGATTCCAGCTACAGTTCTGGTGCCATTTCTAGGAAGACTAAGCAGAGCTCATGCGCAGACCTCAATGTGAGGTGGATTAAACCCAGATTTGGAAAGATACTGTTCTTTCACCCAATACCCTTGGAGTTTCAACATAGATATTATTAACTAAACCTGTCCTGAAACCAACCATTGATTCTCTTCTAATTTCACAGCATACAGAGGTCTACAGTCAGGCTCTGTGCTAATGTGAACTCTAGGAGACCTGGGTCCCCACTATAGAGTTGGCATCATTAGTTCTGCCGGCTACCCTTTTTCCCATATATAAAATGGATATGCTTTATATTAGAGCCAACAAGAAGGAATAACTCATATTTCCAGGAGAGGCTTTATTGAGGTTCCAATTCTTATGTTCATCTTCAAACTACTTTCCTGATGGTCTGTGAATTAAATATACCCGCACTTCTCAACTCTTGTAAAACAACAGGAAACAATTTAAGAGTACATGAAATTTTTTTTCTATTGTGTGCTCCCTCCACTTTCTCCTTAACGTTTGTAAGAAGTATGCTAAAACATTTCCACTGGTGAACGACAGAATTGCTTTAGAGTGAGAGGGTGGAGGACATTAACTGGCAGCCTGTAGACACTGTTTGTTTGGCCTACCTTATTTTAAATTATCTTCGATCAGTTGTCAACATTTTAAAACTCAGGGGATTTCGAATAAAAATCTGGATTTCTAGCTCCTCCCGAAAAAATCAGACCTGTCAACATTAGGCTTGTTTCTGCTAATGATAAAACAGCTGAGTAACTGCCCTGTTAGATAAACTTTCCAGAGTTCAGCACTATCCTACCCAGCACAATTACTCATTTATGTTAACTGCATGGCTCCCTTAGGCATTTAATTTTATGTACCCTAATCTAGGACAATCCCTTCACTTTAATGATGAAAAAAATGAGGGTCTAGGGAGGGAAAGTTAACCTGCCTAGGCCACAGATCAAGTTAGAGACAACAGAGGAAGTTAAGTCAGGTTCAGGTATCTTTCTTTCTAATACAGCACACTGCCTCCCTATATAACCATGCATCCTATCAGCATTTCTTCCACCAATTACTTAAAATTTCTAAGTGGAATCAGTTATATTTTCTACATTCCTTCTTATTAATCCTTTTTATATAATTGATTTCCTTATAGATAACAACTCCATATCAGCGATTTCACTTAAATATTATCTGCAACCTGAAAGAAACAAAGAATTGGGGATCATACAAAACTGCAGTATCAGCTTTTGCACACTTCAGTAAATGCTGAAGGACTCCTAAAATCACTTAGCTTAACACCTGGCTGTAAAGACAAGGAAACTGGGGCACAGAGGGGTTGCAAGGTTCCAGGTAACAGATCCGGTCTTCAATCTTCCAGCTCAGTGCTCTTTCTCCTATACCATGACACCTCTGTGTAGTCACCTAGGCTGTGGGGGACCAGCTCCCTCCACATGAAAACAAAAACTACAGAACTCTATCACATCTTAAACATGGTCAACTCTGACTCTGCCAAGAACTAGGATTTAGAATAAGTTGCAAATAACTTACAGAATTACATTTGCACTGGAAGACAAACTCTTTAGAACTGGTATCTAGTGGAAAATGTATGAATGTCACAGGACTTGATGGTCTTTGTAACACTGGCTCTTATAAAAGCTAAGCCCCATGTGAGAGAAGTTGCTATAACAACATCATAGCACCTTTGCTTCAATTGCAAAAGAAAAAAAAGGCTATGGTAAAAAGCTTTAATAACAGACTGAATGTAATTTTATAGGCAACCAATTAGCAGATTAATGAATCATTTAACTTTCTTTACTTAAAACCAATATTCCATTCAAGAAAGATGAACCCAAAATGCATCCTCTTATACTGACCAACATAACTAAGTACAAATGAAGTCAATGGTGTACCCCATTAGCATGCTGCACTGTATGCCAAGAAAACAAGCCCTCCCCCGCCCCGAGCCCTGGCCCCCTGGCAAACATAGATAAATGATTGTTCACTGCGTGATGATACCATTAGGTGAGAACTTTGGTTCATGCAGTTGGCTGCCATAGAGGTTGCACCCAAAACCTGCAGCCCTGGCACCCAAAGTCAATCAGCGGTGGTGGCTTGTGGCATCAGCCGTGCTCCTTCCACAACACCAGGTGAATACTGTGGTCAGGCATGCTGGTGGCAAAGACCAAGCCTGTGTCATTGTGCCCATCCAATCCATTCAGCCAGGATGCTTCGCCTGCCAGGAAGCTTGAGCCTCTCTTTGATTTCCTGTACTCTGGCAGAGGCCAGCGGCTAATCAGGCTCTCTGTCCGCAAGTCCATGATGTACAGGTAACGGTTGTCAAACAGCAGGGCAAAGATATCTCCAAAGCCAAGCAAGGCCAAGTTTGCTATTTCAGGAGTCTTGATGACCCTATAAGGATGAGAGTTAGGACCATGAACCAGAAGGCAACTTTGCTTCTGTTTTTACTACTGTAATCTTTTCTGGAGACATTTAAAAGCAATATAAATTCAAGCGAACTTAGAATTAAATGAAAGTATTTAATTTAATAAAAAGGAAAATATGATGACAAAAAACAGCCCACTTATTTAACAAAGGCGGAGTGGAGAAAACCCTTCAGTCCAATAATATCAGCATGTAAGGGAAAGGTGGTATTTGATGAAAGTTTATAAGAGCACAAAACACCCATCCAGGCTGAAAAGGATCTTATAGATTATCTAACTTTAACATTCCTATTTTTAAGATGTGAAAACTGAAGCCCAGGCAGGGTAAATACTTTGGCTAAGAATTCACAACTTGTCAATTACCAGTTAGAAGTAGAATGCAAGAGTCAACTCTTCTACCACTAGGTAAGAAGACTTATTCATTAAATCCTAGAATACTGGAACATCTGAAAGCCCAAAACAAATCTGAAAGGCAAGTGACTAAAGTGCTACTCTACTTGGCAGGTGGCAAACAAATGGGTTTCTCTCTCTAAAAACATTAGAGCTGAAGATATTAAAAGTTTCCAAAATAATTTAGAAATATTTATTAATAATAGATTCATAAGAAGTTATTAGAGAAAACTGGGAGAGTTGGGAGGAAAGCCCCAACCTTCTCAGGTTGGCAGTTTCTAAAACATCAATGACAGAATGACAGGCACGAAATGGAAGAAACCTAAACAGCAGCACAAATGAAAAAAAACAAAAACAAAAAAAACCCCTTAGTTTCTGTTATATGCAACCTTAGCAAAGCAACAACTCGACAAGAAAAGTTGATGTCTTCCCTGGATGCATTAGGAAGAGCTAAGAGACAAGGGGTATACAAATACTGCTCTACGACAATATGGTTGGGCTCCTGTGAGAGGGGTAAGTTTAACCTATGTTTTAACACGGACACTACCAATCCAATGTATGTCCAAGAGGTCAATTAGAATGGGGAGGATGTGATAAGCAGGACAAGTAAAGAACAGCTGAAGGATATTAGATGAGAGCAGGAGGAAAAGAAATGGTAAGGGCAGAGAAACCGTACATGATCATTACTTCTAAATAGTGAAGGATGTATAAGAGAGAGGCCAGACATTATAAGCTCTATAAGACAAAATTAGAATCAAAGGGTAAGAGTTACAAAGAAGCAGATTTCGGTCTGATATTAAGAAGAAAAGGGACATTTAGTTTTTATCAGGTATTTACCATATGCCCAGCATCTCAATCCTCAATACAGTGAGGTAGAGGTATGATCTCCATTATACTAGTGAATAAACTGAGGCTAAGAATAAAATGCCCTGCTGTGGTAACACAGTTAATATGATTCAGATCTAGCATTGGAGCCCAGATCTGTCTGACTCCAGAACCCATGCTCTTCTCTACATCAACTGCTTCCTGTGGGAAGGTAATGAGCATATTTGGTTGAGGTGTACAACTCTTTCCTGAAAGAATGGATAAGAGCACAATGAATGGATTTCAACTGAACAAGTGTTTTCTGAGTGTCACATGTGCTCAGTGCTGGTTGGGCCCCAGAAGAGATGAGTAAGACAGTTTTTGCCCCTTAGAATAGGAACAGTACACCAAATACTGTCCGAGAATGTGAGAACATGCTCAGCACAAACACTGTAATATATATAATGGGAGTGTCAAGGAATGAGCAAATCAATCTACCTTTTATCAGCTGGACCTGGAAGAGTATTCTTTCTCTTTCCTGAAGAAGAAATGGAGCATTCCAGATTGAAAGAATACTAAAGGCCTCTCTAAATTTTACAAATTCTCTATTATAGCCATGTGTTTCTCTTATAATTGATAATCTCTGAAAAACAATTCTGTGATACTAAGAATATCAATAGGGGCATCACTTCTATGAAACTAAAAAACAGTTAACAAGTATGGGTGCTTGAAAAGCAGATCAGAGAATAAGCTCACCTTCCTAGACTGAAAATGGAAGGAACTCCTAAAGAGGTAACCATTTAATGTATATGTTTGAGAATAGCTTTCATCCAAAATCAATCATTGAACACTCCCTATGATAGATGCCTTTTATAAACGTGTCTATAAGATGGAGCCTGATCCTAAGGAAAGCAGTAAGTTGGGATTAACTTCAAGTAAAGGGGAAATAGAGGTTCCCATCAGTGTGCTCGATGAATTATAATCAATAACTCATCCATCATTTTCCACTTGGATGATTCATGTCATTCACTCAACAAATATTTATTGTGAACCTAAAGTGTGCTAGCCATTAACTGAGTAGTGAGCAAGACAAAGTGCCTCACACTCGACCAAAACTGAATTTGCCAAACCTACTTCTCTATTTCCTTACTAGCTCATTCAGCCAGTTGCTTTAGCTAAGAAACATGGCAACTATCCAATTCTCCTACTTACTCAAATCACAAATTCAATCACCATACTCTATTGGTTTTATCTTCTAAAATTTTCTCTAATATATTCACTACTGTCTCCATTACCACAACTCTGGTCCAAGACACCATCTTTCTTGCCTGCACTACTGCCAACAACTTTCTACTGGTCTCCCCACATCTACTCTTAGCCCCTTTCAATCAATCAACCTCACACCAAAATCTGATTGTTACCACCTTGTTTAAACTTTTAAATCCTCTGATGGCTTCCTACTGCTCTCCCATCTTTGGGGTACTTCAACTTCAGAGCCTTCAAACAGACCAGTCTCTCAGTCTACAACACTCCTCACTGCACACCCATCCTTGGCATGTAGTTAAGGCATATATACTCACCCATTAGGGCCCAGCCCAAATATCTCTTACTCAAGGAAGCCTTCTTTATTCTAAAAACTAAGTAGGGTCTCAAAGTACCCTATACTATATTCCTCTTATTCCAACCATTAAAAAATTTGTATGTAATTACAGATGGAGTACCTCTTATCCAAAATGCTTGGGACCAGAAGTATTTCAGATTTCGGATTTTGGAATATTTGCAGAATATGTAATAGTTGAACATCCCTAATCTGAAAATCCAAAATAAAAAATGCTCCAATGAGCATTTCCTTTAAGTATTATGCCGGTGCTCAAAAAGTTTCTAATTTTGAAGCATTTTGGATTTTCAGATTAGGGATGCTCAACCTGTAGCTGTTTCATGGTCAGTCTTCCGTCCTGCTATTCAGTAATTTCTCTCCATGAGTTTGGTTAAATACTTCTGTCACTTCCCAGTGTACATCATAATGCCTGTTACATAGGTAGGTGCTCAATGAATTCCTACTAATAAAGCAGTGGTGCAATGAACATAGGCAAACACAAATTTCTGCAAAAGAGATCAAAAGGAAGCTGAGAAAAACAGCTAGGAAGTCTAGTAAGCCCCACATCATCAATGTAAAGCAGGATATAACTGGAAATGCAGAAAACTAAGGGGCTATGGGGACAGGGCTTAAGACCAGTGAAGATGAGCTGATTCCAAAGACTGAAACACAAATAGGTTGCAGAATGGAACACAGGTCTTAACAAACCTGCAGCCCCTTTTACTTTGGTCACTTCAGAAATGTAAACAGACATCCTACTGTGCAGTCTGGACCCCTGAGCCTAAGTAACCTTGCATGCTGTACCGAGATAACCTAGCTCAAGAGACTGCATCGTATCTCAGACTTACTGAGCAACACGCTGTCATTGCTTCTTTTCAATTAGCGTCAAAGCTTAAGTAGCCCTACCTGGTCCTAACAACTGAGGCCACAGTATTTGTACTAAAGTTTCAAAAGAGGTTGGTTTGTGTTTGAAGCAGAAAAAAGCAGAGATAAAATAGTTCCTTTTCAAAGAAAAATCTGGACCTAGCAATTGTACCAGCAAATAATCTTGCAGGTTTTTTACTTAAAGCTAATGTACCCACACACTAAAAACTAACAGAACTCATCTGGGACTCTACACTCTCTGCATGCCATTCTGAGTAGAAAGCATATATGAGAAAGGTAGACGCAGGATCAAATTAAAACCTTTAGAGACTCTAAACATAAGACAATGATGATACTTCTATTTCACCTTAACTCTGCCCCCCCCCAAAAAATTTTAATTCAAAATAAAAGCAGTATTAAACTGTAAAAGATGTAATTTTCCCATGGTGACTGCTTGGGTTTTTTTCCTTGCAAAATATCAAGTTGTTTCAAAAGTTTATTTTCTCACTTTTTGGTGCCCCAGGCTCCCTGATAAGTATTTGCTTAAGTATATCTATGTTTACAGTAAGTATTTGCTTAAGTATATGCTTATGGTAAGTATATGCTTACTAGATAATCTAGCCATGGACGGATGAAGCTGAACTAGGGTGCAATGTGAAATGCCGTGCAAGGCCCCTATTCTCTCTGTTTGTCTCCCCATCTATAAAATGAAGAACTTAGACTAACTATTCTTAGTTTTCTAGAATCTGTTTCAGTCTTTTTTCTAAAAACAGAGTCATCAATCATTTCTAGAAATGATTCTGACAGGTTTGAAACCTAAGTGGTTAGAAATGTTGGTCTGACTCCAGGAAGACACAAATGGGGTTATAACTTTGTGACCAGAGAGATAGGGCCCACCAAAGTCATGCTGGCTGGTATGATCAGATCCCATACAAGTTGACTTCAGTCAGTCATGTATAAAAACAATGAAGAGAATGTTTTATTTTCTGTAAATCTCCAATTCAGCATTTCCCGAACAATGCTGTGGGACACTAACTGTGTGAGTTGTTAATAGGTGTATACACAATAGGTGTGAAGTACAATAGGTTAAACAAATTCAAACAGGTTTTTTTAAGTAAAGCTTCTCAGAGTTATTAGTAATAAAGATGTGCCAGATCCTACACTAAGTCCTAAGCACAGGCATTACATTTAATACTCACTTTATAGGTGAGGTAATTGAGGCACAGTGGGGTTAAGAAACACACAAAATCACACAGCCCATAAGAGATGGCACCAGGTCTTAAACCAAGGTTTGTCTATCCTCAAAGTAAGTTCTCTTAACCAGCACATGGCACTGCCTTCCATCAGCCTCGAACATGCTAACATATATTGCCAATTTCCAAGGAGTCTATGGTATGCAGTGAATCACAAAATCATTTGTCCATGGACCTCTTCTTATTCATTTCTTTGGAGGGAAACCCTGCAAGTTGCATTTTTCTTTAAGTACTTCTGTCATTCCACTAGTCAGTAGAAAGCCACTTGATCCCTAGACCCCTCTGAAGTTGACCAGGCTTGTATAACAAAGCAGAATTTCGTTTTTTTTTCGTGTCCAGCAACGGACCGCAACCCTCAGTGTCGCGCCCGCACCAGACCGGGACTGGAAACAGGATCGCAACCCTCGGTGCTGCGCCCGCCCCTCGCTCAGCCAGTGAGCGGGAACCGGTCTGTATGTGGGATCCGAACCCTCAGCGGGAGCGCCGCCACGCTCCCAAGTGGCGCACTGTAGCAGTGCACCACCGGGCCGGCCCACAAAGCAGAATTTCAACTGACAATGAAGTAGAACTTGAAATATTAGAATTGGAAGATATCTGAAAGATCTTTTCATCTAAACCCCTCATTTTCCAAAAAAGCATGTTAACTCCTAAAAGGGGAAATGGCTCATGACTCAGAGTCGGGAGGGATTAGAACCTAGATCTTTAGGTTCCAGCATAACTCTTTGTCATTTGCCTACTGTCTCTAAGACACTTTTCCTATGTAAGATATTCAGTATATATAACCCTGTTTACAACTGATTTCCTAAAAGCAAGCTATCAACTGGTACATTCAAATATTTAGTCTTATCTTTACTAATGATCTACAGCAGACTTTCAAAGGTAAGGCATGAGGTCCAAGAAAACATTACCTGATAATATCATAACTGGCAAAGTCCCACTGGTAGAGACCCAGTGCTGAACTACAGACAATGTATTTGCCATCAAAATGAAGTCTTGGCTGCAAGCAGATACTTCTATCCTCAGAGACAGACAATGTCTTTAAGCACTTACAGTTGATTTCTCTCCCAATTGGCCAGATCTACAAAAAAATAAATAAATAAATAAATAAGAAAACTAGGAAAGATAACAGATCACATTACCACAGAAAAGCTTGTCCTTAAACAATGTGGCTTACATTTGCTGAAGTCAGACACAAAGTAAAGTATACTGGAAAGATTACAGGTTTTAAAGTCAACAGTTATGGGTTCAAATCCCAATTCTTCTGTATAATCTTGTTATGCATTCATATCTCAATTTTCCTGTATAATCTACTTAACCTGATCTTGTTACCATAACGAAGATAATGTCTACCACACGAGACAGTGTAAAAGATGCAATAAGAAAGTATATAAGGGGCCGAGCCCATGGCGCACTCGGAAGAGTGCGGCACTGGGAGCACAGCAGCACTCCCGCCGCGGGTTCGGATCCTATATAGGGATGGCTGGTGCGCTCACTGGCTGAGCGCGGTGCAGCCGTTCTCAAAAAAGGACAAAAACAAACAAAAAATAAATAAATAAAATAAAGAAAGTATATGAGTGTTTTTTAAACTTTTTGCAAATCATTATAACAAATAAATATTTATGCTTTCATGGTTTAAATCTAAGAATTGAGGAAAGTAGGAGATATTTTTACGAAAATAGTAAGAATGAGTTGAAAATAAACTTCTGTGGATTTATTTTTCATTTACAAATCAGTTAAAAAACTGCATAGAAATTAATTCTACAGAAATATATGTTTAAAAATGCTTAAAACAAGGAATTCTTATGTGAGGATGTTTTACCACAATGAAAAAAAAGAGGAAGAAAAAAAGAGGGGAAAAAAAATTGCGTACAACACAGAACTAGTGAATCATCTCCTCTTCCAATGGGTTTAAGATGGCTTGACCAAAACATTCCACACCACCCCCACCCCCAACCTTGGAATATTCTCCCTTTGCCACACTGCTTTAATTTTCTTATAGTTGCCAGTTTTTCTTTTATGAGGCAAATTGACGGGAGGGAAAAAAACTCACCTTGATCTCATACTTGTCTGCACTTAAGAGGATATAGTCTCCAGGACTATGCAAGAGAGACTTGACTTTGCACTTCTGCAAAACCACCTGCAAATATAAGCATCCATGTTATAGAAGGATCCTTTTAATATTGTTCCTATACTGATTTTATTGTATTTTTAAAATTAAAATATGAAAATGAACTTGGAATTACCTGGTATACTAGAATAGCTAAGCTTATAACTCTATTACCAAGTTAACCTCTACTAAGATTTTTACTACAATCAAATTCTGTTATTAGCAGTATTGAAAAGTGTTTAATGTTGGCAGCATTTAATGTTAGCTTTAGTCTGGATGCAAACATTAGAACTGATTTTAAAAATTATAAATTGTGGGCCAGCCCCGCGGTTCACTCAGGAGAGTGTGGCGCTGGTAGCGCCCAGGCCGCGGGTTCAGATCCTATATAGGGATGGCTGGTGCGCTCACTGGCTGAGCGTGGTGCAGACCACACCGTGCTGAGGGTTGCAATCCCTTTCCCGTCAAAAACAAATAAACAAACAAAATTATAAATCGTGACTTAATAGAAACAGGAAAAGAAAAAGTCCAGCCACTGAAGCAGATGCAAATAATCTGCTTGCATAATTGTGTACAGTATGAAGGAAAAGCACTGGACTTAAGGACCAGAATCTGCCACATGCTCACTTTGCATAAGACATAATCACCCACCCAATCTAAAACCCACCAGTCATCTCTGATTCTTTTTCTTTGTTCCCATGAATCAGCAAGTTCAGGTGGCTTTACTTCAAAGACATACCCTTTATGAGTGTGCCCTTCTCTTTCTTTACTGCCACCCCAGTCCAAGTCATGGGCATCTTTTGCTTAGAGTACTGCAAAAGCCTAATTGGCTACCCAGTATCTACCTGTGCCCACTCTGATCCATTCTTTACTCAGAAGTTATTTCTTTAAAGCATAAATCACACCAGACCCTTGGCTCAGAACTTGTCAACTGCTTTGCAATACACTTATGATGATATCCACCACCTTCACTATGGCCTCATAAATCATACATGATGGCCACCTCCCCACCCATCTTGCACAACTACAGCATAGTTCCACTGGCCTTCTTCCAGGTCATCAAATGTTCCAAGTTCTTTCCCACCCCTGGGCCTGTGCATATGAGGCACCCTCTGAAACACTCTTTCTGCTAGTCTTTTCACAGCTATCTCCTTTTCATTCTTCATGTTTCACCCCTTCTCAAAAAGCTTTCTCTGAATTAATTTGATACTTTCCTAGATCTTCTCACAGAACACTGTACTTTTCCTTTACAGAACACAATTTGTAATTATATATTTATTTGTGAAATTGCTGTTTAAAAACTATTTCTCCTACTAGACTAACATCCATAAAGGTAAAGACTGGTTCTATTTTGCTCACTCCTGTATCCTTAGCCCTTCATGGAACAGCACAAGGAAAGTGCTTCTCCTTGGCATATCCATCATTAATATTGCATTTGACCCTCACAACAATCCTGTTCTGATAACTAGAAAACATCACAGTATACTGTTAAAGATCCTGTATGTTTTTCTTTGCCCCACTTTTTGCAAGCATTATTTTTCAAAAATGAAAATTGCTTTTCTGATTAAAAAAGAAACAAGTTCCTTCTAAAGGGAAGAAAGCCTTCCTACAATCCCACCAATCCAGAAATCACCTTCAAAATTTTGGTGCATAAACACATTTAGAAACTGGTACCACACTCTACATACTTTTTTGTATGTAACCTGTGTTTTTTGGCAGCTGGCTGGCACAGGGAACCAAACCCTTAACCTTGGTGTTACAAGGCTGTAAGAAACAGGCTGTATGTAGCCTGTTTCATTTGTCCCCTGTACCCACCTAATATATTGTGGGCCATCCTGCCATCTTTCTATGTCCATAAGTCATTCATTTGATAAACTATTTACTGAGTGCCGACTACATGCTGGTCACTGTTGCACACCATCACTCTTTGTGGCTAAATCTATTCTATTTTATGACTCGCCTGCCACTTATAAGGCAAAGTCTACCACCCTCCACTTTCCCTCCCCCAAAAAGCCTGACATCAAGAAGATTTCTTCTAGGTCTTCCTACCTTGGTGACCCATTCTGTATGCCCGGTGAGTGTGTTCAGGCATGTCCCAGCAGATAAAGCCCATACTTTCACAGTGAAGTCTGCAGAGCCACTCACCAAAATATCCAGTTCATCATTGTAGTCCACGCTAAACACTAGTGTATATAACATATACAAAGTTAAAACATGCCTCTGTCAGTGAGTCTTTTATAACAGAATTCAATAACATTTATTTTTCCTAGTGCCAATTATATATATATAATTATGTATATGTAATTATTATAGCGTATTATTCTAAGGTTGAAAAGTCCCAGGAACAATACAATTTCCTATCTGTGCTAGCTTCAGAGTGAAGGCAAAACCAAAAACTAGTGTTGGAGGTAATGGTGTTCCTTCTTAGGACTGTCTACATGATATTACACAAAACTTCATTATGCAGGAAAACAGAATATACATGGTCCTACTTAGATTTGCATTAATAGTTAAGACAAAAATATAAAGAGTGTAAGCTGCAATACAGTACCTGACTCAAGAAAAGCCAATGTAAAGAGAAAACAAAACAAAAACAAGGATCTCAAAGATCAGACTAAGCCATTCACTCAAAACACAGATGTATCCCCAGCACCTAAAACAGTGCCTGCAGTATAGTGAGGACTCAAGTATTTGTTTTTAAGTGTCTGAGAAGCCCTAAGAGGAACACTGAGGATCCAGAGATGAAGACATTGGTCCTTCCTTTAAGGAACTCAGTCTAAGTAGGGGGTGGAGGGAAAAGTCCAGAAAAAGTAAATGTTTACCTCTTGCTAGGGAAACACCAAGGAGAATGACTAACTCTGCCCAGGGGTATCGGGCAAGACTTCAGGGAAGAGGCGATTTTGGAGATGGGCCCTGAAGGATGAGTAGAGTTAATCAAGAAAAGAAAAAGTATATCGCAGGTAGAGGAAATAGCAAAGGCATGAAGTTAAGAAAAGCTACAGCAATGTCCAGGGAATAGCAAGTAGAAAATTTTTTAGAGCAGGTCTCTCAAAGTTGATCAGGAATAAAATCACCTGGAATCATAGTACATCTTAACACTGTGGAACGTTACACAGAGCTTAATATGTAAGTTCCATACTAAATCACATAACTTCAAATATTAATTTCTAAATCAAGTGGTAGCAGGCAGGAAAGACTGAAGAAGAATGTATAGGACAAACAAAATGGGGGGAAAAATCTGTTTTTAGCAACAAAACAGCTAGGTTTACTTCAAAGACTGATGGAGCACCAGGTACAGTGCAAAGAACTCAAGACATAAGGGTGAATAAGACAGGCAAGATCACTGTCCTTAAGGAGCTTACAGTCTGCTGGGGTAGTAAGATCATCATACTTACTTGTAAGAGGAATGGTTTGACAGTAATACAGGTTATTGGGAAACCTACAGCAGAGGCCCAAAACTATTTAGGCTGCTCATAAATGTGAAGCTTAAATGCATAGACTGTGACTCTCAGAGGCTAAAGCAGTGGGTAAATGGGGGAGAGAAAGAAGGGAGCTGGTGCACAAGAGGCTGGGAAACAGCTCAATGTGATTTCTACACAAAGTTCCAAAATAAAATACAACAGAGGAAGAACCTCAAGTCTCAAGGCTGTGAAGGAACTTCAAAAAGTTCATGGAAATATTTGTATTATCTTTTAATTCTATTTTTCCACAAACTTTTTGAATACCTCATATATCCAAATGGTAGTTTTCTGCCAAATAAGGTTACCGTACATTTATTAGGAAACATTCAGATATCTGTTTCATCTTATCTCTACACGGTTGCTTGTTTTAATAAACTGTCAGCCACGCTCCAATTGGATGTAATCTGTGCAGACTATACAATCTTGGAGCCACTATCATTCCAAAGGATTTTCAGCCCTAACTGAATAAAGTGGACCGAATTTCCAAGTGTAGGACTTAATCAATTTGGAAATATGGAATCTGATAAAAGCAAAGAGGACCGACTTGTCAATAGGATGATTTCTTTCTTTTTTCTTTTTTTGGCAGCTAGCTGGTATGGGGATCTGAACCCTTGACCCTGGTGTTACCAGCACCAGCTCTAACGAAGTGGCCTAACCAGCCAGTCTTAATAGGATATAAATGAAATAGGAGAGAGGAAGAACTATACCTCCCAGCATAAGAATACATAGCAGAGTTTTAAAATGGGCCAAGGGAAAGCATAATTGGGGAAAACATTCCAAATAAGAATAATTGGAATAAAAGGAAATAAATGCAGGGACTGAGAGAAAGTGAAAAAAAGTTAAAATACAAAATATAAAAAATAAAAAAATTTCACATTCTTGGTTCCTGGCTTTAAAGGATGAAGATGAAGTAATCATAAAAACCCCTGAAAAAGGGCAACCCACCCGCCCCTGTGTGCCCCCGGAAGTGCTGGGTCCTGGCTCCGGAACTCCATTCCCAGCAGGCCACAGTGTTGTCAAAGGAGCCTGTCACAAGCTTCTGCTCATCAAACTTCACCGCTGCACAAGTGTGGGTCTGGATGCCATAAATGCACTGCCCTGTGCTCACATCCCACAGCTTTGCAGACAAGTCATCTGACCCTTCAAGATAAAAACAGGGAGGTTAATAAGACACACTAAAGGAGGAAACTCAAGCCCAAAACCATGGCATTGTTAAAGGAGAACCTTAATGGTCACCTCCTCTAGCATCCTACTTTATTATGGCTGAGGAACACAACTTGCTCAGAGTCATCAAATTAGTGTAAAAAGTATTGGGACAGAAGCCTAGTCTTTTGGTCTAGTTCTTTTCCCTTAACTTTCCAGGCTACAGAAGGATATTACACTAAAACATCCCTTGGTCTTTCAGTTGAAAAATTTCATAAATCTTTGGCTGTCATGAATTCTCTGATTTGAGCTTGAAATGGATGGGTATTACCTATGACTGCATGTCTATACTTGCATGCTTGTCCATTACCCAACAGCCCTGAACAAATAAAGAATGTTGAATCGTAAAGCTGCTGGAACATTATTTCACTCTAAAGCAAGTCAAAGATAAGCCTTAGATTACAGACTAATTTATACAAAAGCTAACTGTTAATTGCTTGAACCACCTTGAAATACGTGAACAAACCTCAAAGAAAACCAGGAGAAAATTATCCCCAGATATTCAGAACAACTCAACAAAGAGCTTGTAAAGCCTCTTGAGATTCTGTAGGAAAAAGTAGGTTTTATTTCTGACTCTGATGAAAATGTTATACTAATCATAGTGACGATTCAGGACTTTGCTTTAATTAAGTTTAAAATCCTAATAATTAACTCTATCTCACAACTTACCTTTAATAAGATGACAAAGAAAAAAACATTATTGAGAACACACTAAATACGGTCACTTTCATAAGGACACAGCATCCTAGGAAAGCACCAAATGACCAGTTTTCAAGAAGCTGAAGTGACTAACTAAAACCAGCCACAATTCCACTCTTAGTCAAGAACTACTTACTGTTTCAGACAATGGAAAAATAGCTATCACCTAGGAAAGAGAGCATGAATTTTAACCTGGGAAAAGTCTATAAGAGCATGCTGAAAGAAAGACTATATTTATTGTCACTTTGTTATTTAGGACTCAGTCTCCCTCTCTATAAAAGGAGGAGTAGGACCTGATTGGTAGTTCTCAGTGGGCATGAAAGACATCAGAATTATCTGGGGAGCTTTATCAAAACACACAAGCAGGGCCCTATTTTCAGAGATTCTAATTTAGAATATCTGCAGTGGAATTCAATAATCATAAAAGTTTGTCAGGTGATTCTAACTCATCAGCAATATTTTGAGAACCAATGGTTTAAAACAGTGCTGTTCAACAGACCTATAATGCAAACCACATATGTAATTTAAAATGTCCTGATAGTTATGTCAAAAAAGTAAAAAGAAATGGGTGAAAATAATTTAATACATTTTAAACTCAATATGTCAAATATTATCATTACAACATAATCAATATACAAAAGTATTAATGAGATATTTTACATTCTTTCACATTCTAAATCACTGAAATCTGGTATTTCACATTTCTCATCTCAATTCTAATTAGCCAAGTTCACATACTCAAAAGCCATATGGATCTTGTGGCTACTATACCAGACAGCGCAACTCTAGAGTCTTTAAGGTCCTTCAGATTAAGCATTTTGTGACTTAATTCCTAAAGAGCTAAAAGAGGAAAGAAATCATTTTTGGTCCTATATGAGCTTGGTTCTGATTTATTGCCAGTGTCCAACTGGGGTCTCATTCATTCATTCAACACATATTTACAGAACTTCTGTGTTAGGCAGGGCTCTGGCTCTCGTGGCATTTAATCTACCTGGGAACACAAAAAAGGCTAAACAAGCAACAATAATTCAGTACTGTAAGTGATGGGCAGTAGGAGGGGATAAAAAGAGAAAATGTTTCAGATGAAGCTCCCCTGAGTTTACAACTGTGCTCCTTGAAATGTAGGTGTTCTGCAAACATGCCTTAGGAGCTGGCATGACTGGCTCCTCAACTATATTCCTCTTGTTTTTAAGCTAGGCTTTTGCATGGGATTGTGTGAAGTGATTTCATGGCTTTAAAAAATTTCAAGTTTTAACTAGCTGAAATCTAAAGGATGAACAAGTTAACCAGGCCCAAAAAAAAGGTGGTGGGGGGAGAGATAGTATATACCAGAGGTCAGCAAAACTTTTTCTGTAGAAGACCAGATAGTAAATACGTATTTTAGGCTTTGTTAGCCATACATTCTCTATTGCAATTACTCTATTCTGCTGGATCTGGCCTGCAGTCCATAGACTGCCAATCCCCGCTAAAGACCTATTAAGGTACCTATTAAGTATCTCTACATATTAAATTAAAGTATGTAAATAGGCATTGTGGCCAATTCATAAAGAACTATTTGGAGCCATTCTAAAAACTGCCTAGGAATTATTTACAATGCTTGTCAAAATGCATTGCCTAAAACCTGACACTGATTATAAAAACAGTTCAGTCTGACTGGGAAATAGTGGCAAGCTTGGGCTGGAGAACTGAGTCAGGAGGATGCTTACATATGACCTACTATGGCTGTATCATGGAATTTGAAAGGGGGCAAAACGACATAAGAAGGCTAGCTAAAAACTAGGGGAGTGGATAAACAAAATGTGGTATATATGTATACACAACAGAATATTGTTCAGCCTTAAAAAGGAATGAAATTCTGATATATGCTACAAAATGGAGGAACTTCGAAGATGTTATGATAAGCTAGTCAACGAAAGAACAAATACTGTATGATACCACTTATATGAGGTTCCCAGAGTGGTCAAATTCATAGAAATTAGAATGGTGGTTGCCACAGGCCAGGGAGAAAGGAAATGGGCAGTTAGTGTTTAACTGGTGTAGTTTCATCTTGGGAAGATGCAAAAAGTTCTGGAAATGGATGGTGATGGTACAGTTCAATGCCATTAAGTACAACACTGTGAACATAAAGGCGCTGAACTGTACACTTAAAATTGGTTTTAAGATGGTAAACTTTATGTTATGTATGTTTTACCACAATTTGGGGGTGGGGTGGGGAAGTGAGATTATCCAAACTTAAACTAGTTTTAGAGAAAAACGTCATGCCATTCAGTTTTACAACCTGAAGAAATACCAAGAAATAATCAGGTTGAGTTGAGTTCCATTTTACAGTGGTACTCCTAACTGCTAATCCTTTAGGAGCCACTGTTCTCTGCTTTATTTCAGAATCCCTCTGGTCTCCCATTTGCTGCACTGACTAACCCAACTTGTTTTCAAAGAGGTCACCAATGATGCAGCGTAGAAGTGAAAGAGGACTAAATAAATGTGGAGTCTTTCACATTTCAAAAAGGGAAAAAAATCCCTTTCCGTTCAGAAAATAGGATGAAAACATCACTTTGCTATAAAACAAAAAAGTCAGGGATGGGTATATTACAAAAATAGGCAGAAAAATGAGCTGTAACCCAAATGGAGTAAACTATCTTATCAAGTTAAGTTTAAATATTTAACTGGTAGAATCATATCTCAGCTCTCAACCACCTCTCTGAGGCATTTGACTCTGCTGACCAACTGAATAAATATTTACCAGTGCTTCTTTAAAACAGGCTATCATTCTCCTCCTGAACTCTCTTAATCACCATTCTGTTTCTTTCACTTCTCTTCTTTCTCTAACTACAATATTCAAGGATCCACCCTAGGTTCTATTCTTTCTCCTCTCTAAATCTCCCTTTAAAATTTCATGGTTCCAGCCACAACTATGATGTAATCAAATCCTAAATCTTTCTCTCTAGCCCTGAGCACTCTCCTAAACTCTGACCCTGCATTTCCAAATATTGTGGAAATCTCTACTTACATATACAATAAGCAACTGAATTCACTTCATCCCAAATTGAACTCCATCTACCCTCTCAAATTTACTCCCTCATGTTCTATTCTTGTTTATTATTAGTACTACTATCTTCCCAAGCATGCAAAGCTAAAAACCTCAGCCATTTCTGAAATTTCTCTTCTCCTTGCCACATATCCAATCCATTGCTAAATTCTGTCATACTCTAATGTCTGCTCTTCTACTCAACTGCTCCTTTTTAAAATCTCTACCCTTACTATCCTAATTCTAGACCTATTTATCCTCACTAAACTAAAAAGGCTAATACTTTAGTTCAGAAGCTCTAATTTGTCTTTGTCAGAAGTTCTCCATAACAATAGCATCATCTTCTAAAGGACTATTTTAGAAATTTGTAGGGGTGCTTTCAGTTGTCACAATGATGGGGGTGGGACAGCTTACTACCATGTACTGGGCGTTGGCCGGGAATGCTAGATACCCTGCAATATTTGGGACAGTGCACAAAAAAAAATATTTTGCATTCTGTATAACATTCTTGACAGTTCTGCCAGATATTCATAAGTGAAAAGCTTACTTTTAGTTATTTAAGCTTAGAACCTGTTTTACAAAGCATATTTGCAATTTAACTATAAAAAGTACTTCATAAAGTTCATGGAAAGATTCATTTTATCTTTTAATTCTATTTTCCATGAACTTTTTGAAATAGCCTCACATACTGAACTTTCTATGATTGCCACTACCAAGTAAATTGAGGAAAGATGTAATTTGCTTTGCTGGGAACTTTGTGAAGTTTTTCACCAATTGCAAAGACTGCATCACTGATGGTATCCATCACACAAATACAACGTGCATTTATACCTGTCATGTTCACAATGACAGTACATATAGGCACAAATGTTTGCTTACTTTACTATCTTCTAGCATAACCATTCTCAAGCATTACATATTTAAATGTGTATTATTTTAAATTATGGTCCTCTTATTTCTCCTCTGGATCAGAGTTTAGGCATTATATTGATTTTTAAAATATGTGTATGTATAGAAGTTATTTCTATGAATTCAAGATAGGGTGATATTATAAAATATGTTATAAAAAGAGGAACTTGGTCTGACAGAAATAAATAATGGTCTAACCTGAAGCAAAAAGCCCTAACCCTGGCCCTTTTTCTGCTCAGAAATCTTTCATGGCTTTCGTACTTTTTATAGGAAACTGTCCAAACTCATGTTCCCAGCATTCAAAGCTCTTCACAGCACAGCCCAAGCCTATTTCTTAAGATTATATTCTAAAAGTCCCTCATTAAGAGTCCTTACTTATACTATAAGAGTCAAACTAAAATAAATCGTCCTCATTTTCTTTCTTCATGCTCAACCCCTTCCATGCCTTTGCTAATGCTTCCTATTGGAAAGCCTTACTCTGTATCTCATCTCTAAAATCTACCCATTCTTCAAGCCTCAACATAAACACTGCTCTATTTTCCCAAATGGAAGAAATCACTACTTCTGAAAAGCTATATAATTTTTCCCCATACAATCTAATTGTATCATTTTATTTTAGCTTTTTTATGTCTCTCGTTTTGCCCCTTCAACTATAAGCCAGAGGTCGCAATACAGCAGCTCATAGCTTAAGATCCAACCACAATATCTTAAAACTTTGAATAATACTAAAAAATCAATACTTAAAAAAAAAAAAAAATGAGGGGGCTGGACAGTTAGCTCACTTGGTTAGAGCACAGTGTTATAACACCAAGGTCAAGGGTTTGGATCCCCGTACTGGCCAGCTGCCAAAACAAACAAACAAATCAGAATATTTCACAAAAATCCAGATTTGAGGCTTGTCTTGAAAAGTCAGATCTGGCAACTCAGAGCCTGAATCTCACATGGCAATAATTCACTACACAATGGAGCAGCAGCTACACTCTTTAGAAAAGCAAGTCTTCTCTGATTTGCTACAGTCTATGTGGAGACTTCTATCTATGTCAGGTTACTTTTCTGATCGCAGTGTTTATGTCCTCTTTAAGAAAAAAACTGCTCCAATTCTTCTATGTATGCCCTTACATTGTCTTTCAAATGGTAGGCATTTCACAAATAGTTATCTCTTGAACAGCACAAAGTACAATAGGCTTTCTTATCGTTTCAGAAATAAATTGCAGAACAGGAGGATTACTACCTCAATCTATGCCATGTCAATTTTAGCATTAGCCATCAATCTCTTTGGTAATAACTGTCTTATTCCTTGCTCAAGGTGCTAATCTGAGAGTCACTGTAAGTTTATTGCCAAATTCAGGATTTCCCAATTTGACCATGGTGAAAATTCACTCTGTTAAGTAACAAGATGACACAAACACATGTATAATTCTGTTAAGAAAAACCTCTCTGACTAATAACAGTCCCAGGGATGCTTCTGTTAGAAAAATTAAACTAATACTAAGATATTCAAACTAAAATTAAACTAAAACTAACGAAGATATTCAAAAAAAGAAACAACCTGAACAAGCACATTTTCAAGAGCACAGAATAATTTCCAATATGCAAACCTGATAAATTTAATCAGAATAAAAATAACATAACATATAGACACACCTCAAGAATAATCTTAAAATGCAAGGTTGAGTCCACCTATTGCAGATATTAACTTTCCAGGTAGTTAGGGAATTCAGTTAATATTTCCCATTGACTTAGACTCCAAGTAATGGAGGTTTTTTTGCATTTTAAAAAAGCTAGAGGTGTGAAAACAATGAGTCAACTGCCAGTATTTAAGTAAGCAGTAAAGCGCTCCAAGGCAATACTGCATCTTAACCTTTAAAAAATACCTGCCATAGATCATGAGGCAAAAAAGGACACAGAAAAGCCATCACCACAAGTGGGAAAGTTCATCAAAGTGTAGAAGAACTGATGATACTGTTCCAATAATCAGGGTTATAAAACCAGGAAAATAATGTAATCACAAAATAACTTCACGATGACAAACCAAACATGAAATGCCTTAAACCAAATGTTTATTTTATAAAACTGGCAAAGTGGCTGTCATTTCAGAGGACATATCAGCACATGGGAAAATGTACATCCTTAATGAATAAAGAAATGTAATTTTAAAACAATCTTGAGAAATCATACGTTTCTTAAATACTAAAAATAATAAAATTGCATCTGATGAGACTCAGAGAGAAGTTACTTAAGACTCTGCTGTTGGCATGGCATCAATTCAGTCTATCTAAAAAGGACACTAAAAGAAGCTATAAAATCATTAATACTTCTAGCACTGGCAAGGGTACTTTTAGGCTCCTGCCCCAAATAAATTACTTGAGGGACAAAAGGGTAATGCAAACGAAGATATCCAAAAAAAATAGAAACAACCTGAATATGCACTAATATGAAATGGCTAAATAATGATGACTGATATATTTACACAAATGAATAGTTTATATTTACACAAAGGAATACTTACTAGAAATAAAAACTATATAGTTTAGAAGATACACAAATGTTTACTAGACATTATCTTGGATGAAAAAAGAACATCAAGTCCTTATTTACGAGGGTACTTCAAAAAGTTCATGGAATAGGGCCGAGCCCATGGGCACTCGGGAGAGTGCGGCACTGGGAGCGCAGCAGCGCTCCCGCTGCGGGTTCGGATCCTATATGGGGATGACTGGTGCACTCACAGCGCTCACTGGCTGAGCGTGGTGCGGCCGGTCTCATAAAAGGACAAAAAAAAAAAAAAAAAAAGTTCATGGAATAATAGAATTAAAAGATAATATGAATCTTTCCATGAACTTTTGGAAGTACCCACATATTACATACAATGTATGTGAACAGGCATTGGGATCACTGATAACCGCTTGGAGTCATCCTAAACCCTGCCTAAGAATTATTTACATTGCCTGTCAAAACCTATTGCTTAAGCAGTATAGTGGTTTAAAAAAAACCACTGGCTGGAGGAGTAGTCTGTTTAAAGATTACACCATCTGAAATGCAATAAACAGAATAAAGCAGTTCCAGCATCTCTTACCTGTACAGAGAAGTCCATCTTTGTAGTAAAGTGCATACACTCTGGCACTGTGTCCAATTAATGATGAGGTCTCAAAGGCTTCATGGTCCTCCAGTTGCTTCATTCTCAAAATAGCCTTCAAATAAACCTTCTTCCAGTGCAAAGCGTCCTGAACAGAATCATCTATCTGCCAGCCCAAATTTTTACATGCAGTCTGCCACACCTCTGTACAGGCACTTATCACCTTATTCCACTGTTTAGAGACGAGGCAGCATGTGAGTAAAGTCTGAGGATCGAGCCATTTTAACAAATAAAAACTGAGCTCCAGGGGAAGGAGTTTGAGGAAGTCCCGCTTGAGGAGAGTCTCTAGGTTATTGGAGAGATGCCTGAGCTGGACTGCCCCACTCAGACTAATCAGGTGATCCAGAGTTTCATTTTTCTGCAAGTCCGTCAGAGAAAGAAATGTAACAGAAATGTTATCAAGCCATGTCTCAAAGTCCTTTCTCTCCATAAGGTTATGGAAAAATTTACCTGTGGCACATCAAAATATTGTATTAGTTCTGTTCAAAAGACCATTCAAGCAAGACTGCTAATAAATGAAGTATTAAAAATTAGTGTAAAAAACTTGGCATTACAACTTTCAGCTTAGTTACTGCATTACAACTTTATAGTTAATACACTATATTCATCTGAAATTTTTCCATGCACACAAAAGAAAATACATTTGAGGAAACATACTTCAACAAATATGATCTCTGAAACAAGTCAGTGAAACTTAGGTTGGTGTGTGTGACCTTTTCCTTCTGAAGTCTAGCACATGCTACATGCAGCTTTCACAGTAAAAGATTTACAAAGTATTCATACATTATGAAACATTGTATTCTCCCCATCAAAACCATTATAAAACTAGCGCATTAATGAATTCTTAATACACTATTTGGGCGCTAAAATCCCAAAAATCAGCACCATGATGGGACAATCAGAAAGCTAGTCTCCAGAGCAATAACCTGAGACATTAGTTATCATGCTAGGCACAACCTGACCTGCCACCAAAATCACAGGACTACTTGCTTTTGCAAATGATGAAAAGGTTTGAGGAAGAAAAATAAGCAGGCGTAATAAGTTGAGTGCCTCAGATATTCTGGTTCTTCCACCTCCTCTGAGGCACTGCCTGTTAGAACATGAACTACCCAAGGCTTATCTGGTCTTATGTAGTTTGTTTTTTATAAGCCTCATATAAGCTAGTGACAATTCTTAACCATGTGCCCCAGAAAGCCATGACAGTTCCAAATGCCTGCACAAATAAGACAAATTAATAACCCTAATGCTCACGAAATACCAAAAAACAGATATCATCATCTTCACTCTGCAGATGGGCAAATTACAGGTCAGAGAAAGTTAAGTGATTTGCCTGCAGTCACAGAGCTATTTCAATAGCAGGACAGACTGGAGGCCAGTACTCTAAAGATCAGTACATCAAGCTGTCTCTCTCTTGAAGTCAGTGACAACCAGAACCACCACCTGGTAATAAGATCTGGAGGTATTGTGTCTATCTGATTAGACCATTTTCCCCTTTAGGGGAATGAAAAATTGCTCCAAGACTAACTGGGACAAAACATGTATTAAGTATCCTGCATTAGTATCAACGAGTGTCAACTCACTCTTAACAATGAGGACTAAACTATGAAAAGAGAGCAAAAATTAAAGCAAATCAGTAACAATCATTTTTCCTAAGATTGGCCATGTGTTGACAAATGTTAGTGGTGGGTTGTGAGTACACAGGAGTTCTATTATTCTCTTTATTTTCATATATTTAAACATTTCTAGGATTAAAAAATAACCCTTTCCTTCTAATCTTTTATATATATATATATATATATATATTTTTTTGGCACCTAGCAGGTAGAGGGATCCGAGCTCTTGACCTTGGTGTTATCGGCACCCGGCTCCACCAAGCAAGCTAACCAGCTAACCCCTTTCCTTCTAACCTGATTACTCTGTTTCCCACAGGATTGTCACACTAATTTTAAAAACTTATGTCCAAATTAATGTGGAAAAGGAAAATAAATTTCCTTCCAGACATGTCATCTAGATCAGGCCTACACAAAAAGTCAGATCTCATGATCCAACTTTGTTAATATAAGTTGAATAAAAATCATGTTTACAACAAATTTTGGCAAGAAGGTTCTCAGACAAAAAGCACTGTGATTTATTAGTAGAAGCAGCCAAACCTTTCAATCACATCACCTATCTGACAGTTTTGGTTTCTGGAACTGTGAATGGACTTCAAGATAATACTCCTGAAGCCGAAGTGTTTGGGCTCAAGAAGATTTATTAATTTAAATTAAGGATTTACTTGGATGCCAAAAAAATCAGTTAACTGAAAGCTTTATCTATTTATCACAAGTAATAAGCTCCTTCCTTCCTCTGTACCCTAACAACCCTCTATCTATAACATTTCTGGAAAATCTCTACTTTTAAATATAATCGTTCACAACAAGACAAAACAACCCTTTTCTTTGGGCATCTGCACAATGTTACAACATATAGTTAATCAATATTGGTCAATTAAAAACATACACCAAAACACCTGTCCTGGAATCATTTTTAACACTAAAAATATGGAGGGCTTCCTCCATCACACCTACACATGTACAAACACAAACGCACATGCACTACCACACACCTCTACCAATAGAAATGCTTATATTTATGCGAATTGAATTGTTATTTAAATGGCCACAAAGCAAATTTTAAATACCATTAAAACATTAACAGGGACCCATCCACAAATATCTAAGAGACATCCTACAACATGGCAAATTAATGTGCTCATGACACATATGAAGATTATGGGACAAGATCTCCAATGAGCATCTTTCGAAAGCCTGGCTATTTCTGAGATTTATATATTCTCTTAAGCCTGAATAAGAATTTTTTCCCACAACACTTATAGATTGTCCTTTAAGATGCTCAACACTTTACAGGAGGCTTTTTCCAGTTCTTCACCTCTGATTGTTATGAAAAAGACATTTTTTTTTAAACAAAGTAGGTCCCATTAACTCTGCAAAATGCACTATTTAAAACACCAATTTTTATTTTTCGGAAAGAATCAACTGACTTGGAGGGGACTTTAAGGTCATAGGTCTAAACTGAACTCATAGAGAGCCTCTAGGAATATCTTGTACTAGTAGCACAAGGTCCCCAGGGGAAAACCTCAGGAAGCGGGATTTCAATTCACATGAGGAGCTTAAATCATCAGAGCTTTCCAACAATGGAATAGCTGCCGCCAGAGTGGTGAGCTTCCCATTACTGTGAACAGTCCAGGACAGTTGGATACAGAGACAGAATGGGATAAATGAAAATGCTTTGGAAGTCAGTTAAATCTTTTACTGACTCAGCCACTTCCTATGTGATCATAGGCATGTTCAAATAGTTTCTAAGCTTCAGTTTTGTCATCTGTGAAATGGAAGCTATCACCCAACTTGATGACTGTGAGAATCAGAAATAAAGCAGGGACATGCTTACTAGCACAGTGCCTATTCTAGGGCAACTCGAATGGTACTCTTTGTCAGCTTTATTGCTATGAATATCTGGCAGGAAGGCTTTTTGTGGTGCTGAGGCTGGAACAGACATGACCACTAACATCCATTTCAACCCTATGATCTTGTCACAAAGTTTCTCTTAAAAATATCTGGAAGATGGGCCGGCCCGGTGGCACACTGGATAGTGCGCTGCTTGGGAAGCGCGGCGGCGCTCCCGCCCGAGGGTTCGGATCCCACATACAGACCGGTTCCCGCTCACTGGCTGAGCGAGGTGCGGGAGCAACGCCGAGGGTTGCAATCCCGTTGCCGGTCCCGGTCCCGGTCCCGTACGGGGGCGACACTGAGGGTTGCGATCCGTTGCCAGACACGGAAAAAGACAAAAAAAAAAAATATCTGGAAGAAAAATTCAAAGGCTCAGATTTATTAGGGGTTTAATTTTAAATTAAGGGCAGTTATTAACTTGAGGTCATAATTTCTCACTACGTACCTTTTTCTCTCTACCCTACCCACATTCCCTGCTGTCTTGCCCCTTTTTCACCACCTCAGACTAAACATGAAACTTGCCCTCCCGCCCTCAATATTAACAATCACAAAGCTCGGCGGAAACGGGTGGTGTGATGAAAAGACTCCTAAATTGAAAGATGGGAGCCTGGGTTATGGTCTCTGGTTCTGCCATTAACTCCCTGTTACCTTAGGCAACTCTCATACTGAGACTGGTTTTAAAGACTAAAGTACTACTCATAAACATTACCTCATTTGATCTTCACAACTTCATGGAAGGTATCCATACTATTACCCTTAACTAACGAATAAGGAAATCACGCAGTCCAAGAAGTGGAATGGCTTTTCCAGAGTTGCATAGGAAGTAGCAGGCTCAACATCCTGCCCAGTTTCCACCCTCCCAAAACCAAACCAAACCTACATTCCTACGTTTTATTAGAGATGGGACATTCTGGATAAAACAGTGAACTGTTTCCCCCTCTTCCTCCACCAGGACCTGGACTAGTAAAGAGTGAAATTTTTTTTCGTCTTCCCTCTCTCTTCTTATCAAAGATAATCAGTTAAAAGAGTACAGAAGCTTTAAAAATGTATATATATATATATATATCTATACACATACATACATAACATATATTTTGAGTATTCAAGAGGCTGATATCACTGGTTGCCTCCAGAGAGAACTGGAAAGCTGAGCGATAGGGGTGAAGCATTCCCCTTTTATTGTATACCTTTGTGAATTTAAAACCATGTGAATATACTATTAAAAAACAGCCTTAGTTTTAAGATGGATTTTTAAAAGCTCTGAAAGAATACAAATAATGTTTATAAAATATGGGCTCTGCAACTCCACTTGCTGCTGAGTGACATTGGGCAAATCATTTCACCTGTCTCAAGCCCAGTTTCCTCACTTGTAAAATGCAGCCACCTAGAGCATTACCTACAAGGGTTTTTGTGAGGATTAAACAGGATAATGCGCGTAAAGCGTTTAAGCACAGTACCTATAACACACTGTAAGCCTACAATCAATGCAAATTATCATAACTATTTAGTACTAATATGGTTATCTTTGTTTTATTTCGAGTAGCACCCCACAGATACACCTGTATCCATGGCATACCCACAATTATGGCGCAGTACCTCACATTAGTACCGCGCTTTGTACTTCATAAACCACCCATCATCTCTCAAACTCACGGCAGCCCTGGGACATCACTGCTAATTCATTTCGCAGCTAAGGAAACTGAGGCACTGGGAGACAGTAACTCCGAGACCCAATTTTCTTATCTCTAAAAGGAATTCCAGATCCCTTCAACCCGTTCGTCGTTGCCAAGTCCCCCGCTCCCAAAGCCGTGTTTCACGCGGCACTGACCTGAGCGAGCGCCCCGGGGCCCGGGACCTCGCGCCGGGTTCACACCGACTAGGCGCGCTCAGGCCGCCAGAGCCTCGCAGCGGCCGGGTCCGCTCCGCAGCCATGGCGCCTGCAGGGAGAAAAAGACAAAAAGCCCGAGGCGCGGCGGGTCAGCAGAGGCGCGGACACCAGAGAGCCCCCTCCCGGACCCGCCCCACCCCGCCTAGTCCGCCTAGCCCACAGACCTGGACCTACGGCCGCTGCTCGGAGTCCGCAGCCCCACAGGGGAGCGGCTTCCGGTGTTGCTTGCGTCATCTCCGCGCGTCTGACCGCCCAGCAGCGCCCGGCGGAAGCGGCTGTACTTCCGGTCCTCGCCCGGAGAGGAGGCGGGAGAGTTGGGGAGATCGCACAGGAGGATGGAGTACGCGTGGGTTTGCTCTCACGGCGCTTGGACCTTGCGGCGTTGGCACCTCGACCAACGAACGCTGCCATTTGGGTTATACTTCCGAACTTGCCCAGGCGTGTATGTCCCTTATCCAGTCAGATCTTTCACCAACTCTGGCAGGTTTTCTTATTGTCCTCACTTTACGAAGGAGAGGGAGCTATGGCTCAGAGAGGTTAAGAGATGTGTCCAGGGCCGGCCCGTGGCTCACTCGGGAGAGTGCGGTGCTGATAACACCAAGGCCACGGGTTCGGATCCTACATAGCGTTGGCCGGTTAGCTCACTGGCTGAGCGTGGTGCTGACAACACTAAGCCAAGGGTTAAGATCCCCTTACCAATCATCTTTAAAAAAAAAAAAGAGATGTGTACAAATTCAAACAACCCATTGAAGCACCTGTTATATCTCAAACACTGTTCTAGGGGATAGGGTTAGTGAACAAAAAACACAAAAATCCCTTACCGCCTGGGGCTTACATCTAGTGGGGTAGGAAGACAGATAAATAAGCGGAGCATGATGCAAGCCTTAGCAAGTGCTAAGGAGAAAAATAAAGCAAACTAAGGGGGTTAGCAAGCGAAAAATGGTAGGTGATATAGAAGAGAGTCAGCATTTATACTCCCTGGCCGTGCCCATGGCCTGGTTACTTAACCTCTCCGAGTTTATTTTTCTTATCTGCATAACAATTTTAGTACCCTCCTCATCTGTTCTTTCTGAGTATTGAAGGGGATGAAACATGTAAATCTTTTAGCATCAAGAACTAAAACTGCATTAAGTGCGACGTACTCTTCTAAACACTTTACATGTATTATCTCATTCAATTCCCACAACAACCCTACAAGGTAATTACTATTAGCTCCATTTTTAGAGATGGGGAAACTGAAGTCAAAAGAGATTTAGGCATCTTGCCTAAGGTCATAGTAACTGGCTGTCACAGGATTTCAACTCAAAGCAACTTAAGAGCACAAGTTACCCTTGTCTCTGTGTAAAGGCCCCTAAATCACACACACGCGCACGCACACACACACACGTTCATATGCATCTTATACCAGCACTGTCCAATAGGACTTTCAGCAATGATGGAAATGTTCTCTGTGCTGTCCAGTAAGGCCTCTTGTGGCTGTTGAACACTTCAAAAGTGCCTAATGTGCCTGAGGAACTACATTTTTAATTTTATTTAATTTTAATTCATTTAAATTAATTTTAATTTTTATTATTTTTTTTAAAGATGACGGGTAAGAGGATCTCAGCCCTTGGCTTGGTGTTGTCAACACCACGCTCATCCAGTGAGCCAACTGGCCATCCCTATATAGGATCCGAACCCGTGGCCTTGGTGTTATCAGCACTGCATTCTCCCGAGTGAGCCACAGGCCGGCCAATTTAAATTAATTTAAATAGCCACATATGTCTAACATTTACCAGAGGAGAGGGTCTGGGGAGGCCTAATTGCCAGCCTTAACCCACCACAACCTCTAGTTGGTTCTTGACTGCCACAGGAAAGAATTTAAGAGCAGAGTCACAGAAGAAAGTGAAATCAGGTTTATCATAGCAAAATGAGGAACAGAGACTTCACAGACAAAAGCGTGGCCCAGCTCCAGACACTGAGCTGGGCCCACACTAAATTTAATACAAAAGTAAGAAATACACACTTAAAGTTTAGTACAAGAGCTGTTCAAGGGAATGAGCAGCCGCCCGTTAGAAGTAAGTTTAACACAAAATTGTAAAGCATATACACCTTGCCAGCGAAGTGCATGTTAGCCCCAGGAAAAGTGGGCAACCACCTCACCCTCTCCAAGGATTCAACTTTTATAGTTTTGCTATCTAATACATATTCATGCTATCTAATGAATATTCAACTAAGGGCATGGTTCCCAGTTATGTAACAGTCTTGCCCATGCTCAGTTAGTCTCCTTTTAGGGTATGTTCATTGGTCAAAGTCAATCATATGCACCAAACATGTTCAAGAATATTCTGTGCTCTTCGGTGCTTCCAGTGAAAAGTCACTCAAAGGATAAACTCCCTTCCACTGAGCATGCTTGGTCACTGGGGTCGTATAAGCCTATATAAATTCCTTTTACTGAGCATGCTCAGTTACTAGAGTTACATAATTCCTTTCTACTGAACATACTCAGCCCCTGGATTTCCATAAGTCCACCCCTTGTGGTCTCAATTTCCCCGTGTTTGTACCAAACATAGATGTAATAAGCAACAGTAACCGTCCTCTAGGATATGGCCTAGAGAAGAGCCTTGAGACCTTGGGGAGTGGCTTAGAACCCAGAGGGCATCCTAAAACCCAAACCCAAGGAAACTGAGTACCTCCTATCTCAAAATGATATAGATGAAACACATAAAATATACAATAAGAGCATCATATATCCAGTTAGTGGTAGAGTACAGCCAAGGCTCCTGTATGAAGGCATGCTGACTTCATCTAGGGTAACTTGAAAGTGGGAAATAAAAATTATGTGGGGTGTAAGCCAAGTATTGTGTCATAAAGGACATGTCTCGAGAGGGCAAATTTGATTTGGTAGGCAACAGAAAATCACTGTGGACGTCTAAGCCAGAGAATGATGACAACATTATAAGACATTTAGGAAGACATGAATACACAGATTAGATAACCTCTATGCAAGGAAGGCAATACCAGGGTAATCAAGAAAACCAAGCACCCATATCTCTTTGTAGTAACAGTCTCAGCCCCAGCAAGGTAGGAATCAAACCGAAAATTCCAGGTGGAGCTGCCCCCAAAATAGTATTGTTTGAACCTGTCATAGACAAAGAAATCAAATTGGGTACATTGACACCCAAAAGAGATCCAGGAGCAAAATTTATGACTATAAAAATAATTTGTGTTTAATTAAGTACAAGATCTATTCAATTGTTTACTTAGTATATGCAAAAATTCCCTTTCATTTAAAAAAATTTTAGGTTAGACTTTTCCATTTTGTAAAAAATTCCAAAATCGCATGATGATTGTTGAGAAAACAAAGCCAACTTTAAATATAAGGTGGTATTCCTAGCCAAATAATTGCAAAAAATGCTGTGAATAGCAGGTAGGAAAATAAACATGTGAAAGAAAAAGATGAAAGATAGCCTGGCATGAGAAAAGAATGCTCAGTATAACTGCATATGTGACAGGAACATGAAAATATGTTGAATGTTGTTTCTTTTCTTGAAATAAACTTGCTGGTAGAAATGGTGTTTAGGATTAATTCCTACAGATACATGCTTCAGGAAAAAGGCAAACACCAAATGTTTAGTTTCTTCAATTCAGGCTAGAATGAGCTACATGATGTTTTCCATTTTGAGATATACTTGCCTGGGGTAGGTAGTTAGGATGACTTACAATTGATTTAGTAAAGTTCTTGCATAGTCCAGATTCTGTCCCAATGAGACCTCATTATGTGTTGTTTCTTTGGGGAGAAAAAAAAATGCACCCACTAGGGATGACAAGTAGTCTTTGACATTTAGCACACACATTTTTGCATGTGCATGTACCATGGAGCAGGCATTACTCCAACTGTTTAGTATCTTAAGATGCACTCCAAAAAACACTGTACTTCTGCATTTCTCCTTGTGTAGTAATGCTGTGGAGAGGTGATGTGGGTGAACTGTTCTTTGAACTCCTACACATTTTTACCAAGAACTCAGTATAAAAACAAGGAGTCAGTTTCATGAGGTACACAGGTTGGAAGCATTTGAAGAGGTTTGCCTTTTCTATTCTTTGTTCTGGATTCACTCTAGCTGTAACATGATCAGCACTCACTCTTCTATGTAGTCAGCAGGTATTCTGGGACAAAAGCTCAGGCTGATTGGCAAGAAACCTTATCCTTAAAGTATGAAGCACAAAGTATTTTACTGCAATTGCTGTTAGACTGGAGTGATCCTGAGATACATTTGGGCATACTTGGCCTCTGTACTCAATAAATCCCAAAGCTGTGTAATTGCTCACAGACAACATGCAGGTAAGTTTCTTATAATCTTTGAAGCATTTTGTATCTATTAAAGTAGGCTTTAAGGAAGCTGAAGTTTCTTCCATGTGTAAATCATGAGCCCTAAGAAAATGGAAAGGAGTTCAGATTATAATTGCAGGAGTTTGTTTTTTTCCGGTTTAACAGACATGTAAAAGTAAAGATAAGAGTCAGGATTCTTCAGTGGTTAAGAGTGAGCATTGGAAGCTGAGAGATTTGAGTTCAAATCATGGCCCTACCCCAACCCTTTACCCACTATGTGATCGTAGGCAAATTACCAAACTGCTTGAATGCTCAGCTTAATTTTGAAGATAACCTATCTAAAAGGGATATTATCAGAACTAAATGAGTTAAGGCATGTAAAGTGTTTAGCACAGTGCCTGGCACGCAGCAAGTGCTCAATAAGAGGTAACTATTATGGGAGGCTTTGTTGATCAAATCTCTAATGAATAGGGATTTAATTCATTTAAAGTTTCCTAGCTCTGTTGTATTACGATTCTGCATATGCATTTCTGAACGGGAAGTTTCCATCTCCTTTGATGAAGTGGAGTGAGCTTGGCACAGGTCCATCCTAGATCTCTAAAGTGGTACTATGCAGACAGCATTAATCTGTCCATATTGACAGACATGTCAGATGGATTAGGAGACAGTGTCAAAACAGACTGATGCAGTATTAGGTTAAATTGGAAAGTCATACTAGAAGAATGTAAATGTTTGATAGTAGCCAGTGTGTGGTGGCCAACAATAGCAATGTCTTCATGGAAAAATAGCCCTTGACCTTTGTAATTAGAGAAGAAACTGATCCAAGTTCTTCGATTCAAGAAAGAACATCAGATACTTTCCTATAGGTTTTAATCATAATGATGCCACTTGTTACATTATACCCATGGGTCTATGTCTGATTATTCTTTGTATCCCCAGTGTCTATAACACAGTGCCTTATATATGGTAAGTAGGCT